TCACGTAATCTTAAAAAGGAAGTTATTTTCAAAATCTACGGCTGCAGAAACATAAAAGTAGTCCTTTATATTGGATAAATTCTAAAAACTTAAATAAGTCAAAACACAGTGGCGTGAACATAAAATGGATGTCATTTTCAAAATTTACTGATCGGGAAACATAAAAATACACCCTTATATCGAATAAGTCAAAAAAACTTAAATGATTCGAAACGTAGTCACTTAATCTTAAAATGGGGGTTATTTTCAAAACTATGTACAGGACAGCATAATACTAGTCCCTAATAAATCCGAATAGGTACAATAAATCGATATCCGTAAGTGAAAATTCTACTTAGGAGAGCATAATAATAGACTTTCATATTGGAAGGGGGGAGGGGATGGCCATTATTTAAAAAAAAATATAAGATTTACAAAAAATTAAAACATTAATTTGAAATGAAAACGGTTGAATTTGAATTGGAAAAGGTTTAATTTGAAATGGAAATGGTTGAATTTGACTTGGAAAAAGTTTAATTTGATCTGAAAAAGGTTGAATTTGACTTGGAAAAGGTTGAATTTGACTTGGAAATGACATAGAAATATCACACTGAAAAAATCTAAAATGTTAAAATAAATGCATATGCAACCGCGTTATCAAAATTTTTTTGTATTTTTCAAAAGCTATGCCTTCGATAATATAGTAAGTGGCCTTCATTTCGAAATCGAAAATTGACAAAAATGCGAAAGTTTAATTTGAAATGGAAAAGGTTGAATTTGACTTGGAAAAGGTTGAATTTGAAATGGAAAAGGTTTAATTTGACTTGGAAAAGGTTGAATTTAATTTGGAAAAGGTTGAAATTGACTTGGAAATGCTATAATATAATTAAAATATGTAATATCCTCCAAATATGTAAATGAAAGGTGTTTCATTTTCTTTTAAATTATATGATAAGTAAAATAATCTGTTGAAGAAGAGTGTGTAAGGTTAAAAAAGAGTATTTAAGTATCCAGACCCATACTGATAATGAAGGATGCTATGATTATAAAGGAATATAATATTTGGGTCATATAAAAACTTATAAATTAAAAACTACAATCATTTGATTTTTTTGTTTCTTTTTGGATAATTTCCATACCCTTCTTTTATATATTTATGTTGGTGCGTATGTTTCTGATACAGAATTTTTTTTTTTAAGTTATAAATATAATAAATTCTATTTTTATAGAATTACTTCAATATTAATATTTAAATGTTTTAGGTAGGTACTTAGTATGTAATAATTCCGATGAAAACTGAAGCTGTAAAAATTGCTATACAGGGTGTTTCAGGGTTAAGTGGCCAAACTGCAAAAACAATTCCTCTGAAGGTATGAGTATGTCCTCAAACACTTTGTTTAGGAGATATTCACAGCTAAAGATTTTCGTTTTTATGAATTATTTACGTTATATGAAATAAATAAAACCCATTTATTTGCTCTAACTACTTTATTAATTAAATGTAAATATTAACATTCGTATTAAATGTTTTACAAATTGATTTCTTTGAGCATTAAGACAGACTCGACATCTTTCTTCAACAGCAGCACTGGCAGAAGGGCACTGGATATGTGTTATTGTTTCACAAGATTCAATTATCCTTCTTCTTAAGGAGTTAAGGTCATTTACCGGATTTGATCAATCCTATCAGATATGCCATATCCCGATCAATGGATTGGCCGCGCAGGACCAGTGGCTTGACCTGCATGCTCTCCAGATCTGACACCACTGGATTTTTTTGTTTGGGGTGACATTAAAGGAAAAGTATATGCAGGTCCGGTCAATGACTTTAATTCCTTAAGAAGAAGGATAATTCAATCTTGTGAAACTGGATATGTGTTATTGTTTCACAAAATTGAATTATCCTTCTTCTTAAGGAATTAAAGTCATTGACCGGACCTGCATATACTTTTTGTTTAATGCCACCCCAAACAAAAAAATCCAGTGGTGTCAGATCTGGAGAGCATGCAGGTCAAGCCACTGGTCCTGCGCGGCCAATCCATTGATCGGGATATGGCATATCTGATAGAATTGATCAAATCCGGTAAATGACCTTAACTCCTTAAGAAGAAGGATAATTGAATCTTCTGAAACAATAACACATATCCAGTGCCCTTCTGCTAGTGCTGCTGTTGAAGAAAGATGCCGAGTCTGTCTTAATGCTCAAAGAAATCAATTTGTAAAACATTTAATACGAATGTTAATATTTACATTTAATTAATAAAGTAGTTAGAACAAATAAATGGGTTTTATTTATTTCATATAACGTAAATAATTCATAAAAACGAAAATCTTTAGCTGTGAATATCTCCTAAACAAAGTGTTTGAGGAATACCTTCAGAGCAAACTTTTTTCTTGTTTTGAGGTCCTTAGTTCATTTTTGCACTTAACTCTGAAACATCTTATATATTGTATTCACATTCTGAAATACTGGCATGGCCATCATAAATCTTATAGTAAAATAAAATAAACATTACCTCATGTAGAGATATGTAGGTGTGACAATATTTAATTATTAACTCTTATGTTGTAATTTTTCTATTCTCAAGGCTAGAGGTTCGTTGAAAAGTGGAATAATATTTCACTTTATTATAGTAATTATTAAAACCAAAATCTGACACAATTACAATGTTTTATCCAGATAAGTAAGGTATGCAATAGCTTTGTTAATTCTTTTCTACGCCCAATGTTCTTGAATGCGGCATATTGTATTATTTTTTTTTCGATAAAAATATGTCTATCTAAACAAAACTCCTAAAACTTCAGAAATCATCTGTAGAAGAGCGGAATAAATTCTGTACAATTGATATAACTTCACAGTTTTTTCTAAAGTAATGCCAATGAAAATAAGAGTTCTTCTGTTATACCTGGAATCCGAACCTCGTCCGTTAAAAAAGAATGCTCAGGACTGTTCAGGATAAAGTTTAATTTTAACTCAAATATGTTACGTTTTAATTTTTCAATAGGGAAAAAGCATTGAAAATGCATTTCATAATTCAAAATTCACCAGAGATCAAACAGATTAGCTAAAACTGTATTAAATCTTGAAAAATCTTTTTCTGCTTGATTATTAGTTTAATAATTTAAATGATTAAGATCAAAATTGTCTTTGAATTATCAACAACCTGAAAACCTATTAAAAATAATATTTATAATTATATAACATGAATAAGAATGAATATTTTAAACAATTGCCTCTTTTCATGCTACGACCTTGTTGCGGAGGTTCGAGATTGACACCAGATAATTGTAATAACAATAATACTTAATTACCATTATAATAGTATGATTTAACATATGATCATATTGAACTAGGGACTAATAGTGTATTCAGGATTTAATTTCGGGGGCTTCAGCGTTTTTTTGTTATATACATAATGGTAATTACTTTTTAAGAAAAATAAAGAAACTAAATATCTGTAATCCAGTTCCCTCAATATCTCATGTTTGGTATCTCGGAATATAGTTGGAAAAAAATCTCACCTACAACGTACTCACAAAATTAAAAAACCAGAACTGACCAGACGATACAAACAACTGTCACATCGTTTGGACTACCGATCTCCACTAAACTTACAAAACAAGCGACTAATATATACCTCCATGCTAAGACCTATTTCGACATAGGAAGCTGCACTAGTGGATCCAGGATTTAATTTTGGGGGGCTTCAGTCCTAAACCTTTTTTTTTTCATAAAAATAACGATAATTACTTTGGAAAAACAGAAAGAAACTAACTACCTATATGAAATGGTGTTTAAGTGATTCCTTAAGTCCTTTTAAATGTACTTACACGGACTATAATACTTTAAGAGGTATTTTTTAAATTTTTTTTCCATAAAACGATTATATTTTACCATATTGGGGGGCTTCAGTCCGAAAGCTCCCTCCCCCTGTAAATCCGCCCGTGCGGAGCAGAACTTAGGGATTCCGCAAGCAAAACACGAACATAAAGAAAATTCAAACCATAAAATCCATAATACTTCGTAAAATAATCAGTACTCCTTGGTTTATTTCAAATCACACAGACATGAGCATACCAAAAGTAAAATTCTACATACACATTTCATTCTTCTACGCTCAATCATCCAAACCTCTTTCTTCTCATTCTGTCTCTTTCTTTCTCCCTGTTAGCCTGTGAGCCTCAACAATGACTAAAAAGGCAGTGGCTTAGAGATCTCCTGCTGACAATGTAAAGAAGGATCAAGAATAAAAGAAGAAAGAATAAACGGCAACACATTTGCTTGATGCGTTACAACGCAGTGGCGAATTTAATGTAAAATAAATAAATACAAATATCTGTATGGAATAGTGTTTCAGTTCTTCTTGAAATCCTATTAAGATGTAATTACACGAAGAATTATACTTTTAGAGATAAATTTCATTAGACATGGTTACATTTTTCCATTTCTGAGAAGGGCTTCAGCCCGAAAGTCTATCCCGATAGATTCGCCGGTGGAAGCCACTAATTGTAAGATATAGTTTCAAACTATTGTAAAAATACTGAATTCAGATATTATTGTAGTGGACCTAGATAAAGAAGTGTGAGGAACTTCCAGAAATGGTTGATCCTTCAAATTACTAGGAAAACAAACTTCATCAATGGTTTTGCTTTTTTAATTCTATTAAAAATGCTCTATTGCCTATGTCATATGTTTAGTAAAGAGAAACTTTATTTTTTCTCTTTTTTCCACTCATAAACAAGCATCTACTAAGTAGGACAAATATCAGAAATTAAAAATTAAAAAAATTCAATCCGGTCAGAGCCTACATTTTCTATTTGCATGTTTATAAATTTAGCTAGTAATAACATGGTTATATAACATGCAGCATAATGTTATTTAGAGAGTGTTAACGAAACGTAAATCTTTCAAAAGAAGCTGCGAATAAAATGTATTAAAACGTTAATTGGAGGCCTTTAAAATTATATTTATTAAAACCATAATTTTATTATTTTTCATAAATTTATCTCTTTTTCCCTAGGAACTGGCCGCTACACCTACTATGTAGTGATGGCTGTTGGCTTTACCCTTTTTGGGGGCATGTTGAATATTCAGGCGTTGTCAACAGTTCTACCTGTTGCTGGATGTGATTTGCAACTAACAAGTTCTCAAAAGGGTACTCTGACATCTATAACATTTGCAGGTATTGCTAAAAATACGCTTAATTATTAAAATACAGAGAAGTCATTTGACCAAATTTTAGAATCAAAAAGTAAATTTCACCTATGACCAGGACTAGAAGTGAAACATTGACTTTTCTGTTTTTTTTAAACTACACGTTTTTCTCATGAAACATTTCAATAAATATTTTTATAGCACTTTTATCCAAAAATTTAATTTAATTCATATTGCCAATATTTATTTTCTTCTTCTCCTACCTCTCGGCAATACAGATTTTTGGGAGAAGTAGCGCGATATTTCGACTACTTATCCTCTGTTTCTTTAGTCTTCATAAGTAGAGATTGAAATGGTCATCCCCCACCAATTCCTTCCACCCATACACGAATGCTTCACAGCACTTATCCTTACTTACTAGCTGAGGGAAATCGTCCTCCTTGATGATGTAGAGTCAGGTTTGTCTCAGTAATTTTGTCCTTATTGCTTTAAAGCTGTGCAGTAAGTTATGAAGACATGTTCAGCAGTTTCTGAATACTACAGCAGAGACATAGGGGATTAATTTCTATGCCAAAGGCATGTAGCTTGGCGCGAAACCCTCCATGCCCTGTTATAAATTGTGACACCCAATAATCAGGGAGGACCCATTTTGCTTCTAACCTTCAATAAACTGTAGGAAGTTATTTCCTCAAGGTAGAGCTTAGAGGTTTATGAGTAGTTACCCACCATCGATTCCACTGCTCAATGGTGTCCTCCCATATTATTCTTTGCTGTTTAGATGGATCGGCCCCAATCCTTTCTTGGAGATTTTCAGGAGGACTTTCTGAGTCTTATTTCTTAAGAATATACTTATGCTTGTCTTCTTGCAGGAGAAGTTCGAGAGGTACTCCTGCTAAAATATTTTAGCAACAAGATATCATACCAACAAATAAATCTAAAGAATTATACAGTACGTTCTTAGCTACTCAAACAAAATAATAAGACAATTCATTCAAAACAATGCCATTTATAATCTGAGCATACTTACTGTTTATTTATCATTTAACATACATTTACACTTAAAACTAAACAGTTACAATGATCCCAGAATTTTATAACTTAATTTTATTTAAGAAATTTATATTTCTTAAAATTTTGATATTACATTTATAATGTAGAATAAAAATTTTTACGTGTTAAAAGATCTTACAAGTCATCACAGATGATAGATTACTAGACACAAGATTTCGAGAAGTTTTCTGCTGTAGATGGAAAGAAATAGAGATGGAAAGAGCCCAATTGTAGATAATTTATTATAATTAAAATGGACGTATAGTTTTTGAATTATTCGAAGAATAATTTTTATTTTTAGGTTTTATATATAATATTGTTTAACTATTTAAATTTCTATTTTTTTCAAACCCAGAATCATTGCTGTACCATTGAAAGTTCCAGCTTTATAAGCACTGTCATATTTGAGGTATATCAATGTTTCAGTTATTATTTTTTCATATTCTACATAGTTAACATTACAAAATATTTTTAAGGCATGCTCTTGTCTGGACCATTTTCTGGCTTCTTTTCTGATGCATTTGGAAGGGTACGCATCACATTTCTCGGGCAGTCTGTAAGCGTCTTCCTCATGTTTCTCAACAGTTTCGCTCCTGACACAACAACTCTCATCATAATGAACTTAATCAATGGGTTTGCGTAAGTATTTTTTCTTAAAATGTTTTAATAAATCAACTTCATTGACACATACATAGTAGATATAAACGAAGCAAACCGTACTGATCAAGCTTATTTTATTGCTTAAGATGTTTAAACACTTTTTACTCAATAATAAAATGTATAGATGTAATTATTGTATCAAAAATATTATTATGCATAATTGATTATTGATTTAGAAAATAACTTAATAAAAGAGCAATCTTTTTCTGTCGTCATTTACATGGAAATTGAATTTTTTTATTATTTTTATACTTCTGATATTTTTGTACTAAACCAAAATTGAATATTCCAAAGTATATATATACATGTATATTTCAGTAATCTAACAAACCAAACATCAATCGTCCATGACTCTTATCGAGACCATTTGGCAGATTTTTCTGGAATTTATTATAAAAGTTAAAGGTTACCCGAGGAGGTGATCCTTGGAACTCAACATTACCATCTACCGTTTTGTTTCAAAATGGCAGCAAAAAAGGGGCTGTCTCATACACTAGCGGAAAATGGCTGAAACAATTTTAATAAAAACTGTCTAAAATCTTCTCCTTAAAGCAAATTAAATTTGTCTACACCTCATACTTGAAAATTTCTGGTCGAATCCCAAAATGGAATAAAAAAAAAAGTTTCGGCCAAGACTAGAGGGTCAATTTATTTTGGAACATGTGTATGCTTATTTAAAGGTTAATGAAATTCCATCTCTTCAAAACAAAAACAAAATAAATCAAAATCGGACTATTTGGTGCAGAGATATGGTGTTCTAAACTTTTTGTACATGTTTTAATTAAAATGGAAAGCCAATTTCTTTGTTTTGTTTTTTTTATACATAAATATAATAAGCAAGAAGTTTTCCATGAGGCTTATTTCTCTCTCTCAAAATACTTAGTAGATGATGCCTATTAATTTCATTCAATCAAAGCTTCCACCAATGGATGTCAATCAAACAGTCCTATGCTATCACTTGGTTGATTCGTTGAAGGTTAACGTTCTAATAGACTTCTGCCCCAGATTAAATGACCGGAGTCTTATTGAGGATACTCAAACATATGTATATACCTCAAATTTAAATGTACAAATATTTACAACAAAAATTCTGTGTGAAACCAAAACTTCAGTGGCTTGATTGAAAAAAGGCATTACAAGTTATATATTTAATTGTTTCTTTTATATACATATAACTTCATTACAATGACCTGATTTACAGCTTCCAACAGTTGACCAACACATAAAGGCTCAACCCTTGTGCTAAACAGCCGTTGCCCTGCAGCGTAATCACAAATCCTATACGGATTCAGATACCCTATCAAAAATAATTTACGTAAGATTTATTATTTATTAAAATAAAATAAAAATTTTTCCTAGTTAACTGCCCACTGGCGATCTTAAGTTATTTAAAATGAATCCTTAAATATGTTTAAAATTGTTAAATGTTCTAACTAAATGCAAGGATTTTTTAATTTAAATTAATGTGAATACTAGTTGAAATTATAATAATTAAATATTATTCTTAATAGAAAAAAATATCATTAAAAGGATGAAGGTTATCTAAAAAAATAACTACCATAAATTATTACAAAATTTATTTTCTTTAAAATAATTAATGATTTTTTAATCATTTAACTATAACATATTTAATTTTAATTTATTGTATATATATTACTTGAAAACTAAATTATTAAAAACAAAGTATATTAAAAGATGTTTTTATTGTACATTACATTAATTTGCAATATTTCTAGATAAATCTTGTATTTTTTATGATATGTATCCATGTATTTAGTAGTAATCTTTTTCTTAAAGGAAGGAATTTAGTTGGAATTTCTCTATGGGAAAAAAACACTCCCTCCCTTTTCTTAAGTTACAGATCTCAAAATTCAGAGATTTGGAGATTGTTCATTATAATTTATTATTTATTTTTATGACAGTACATCCTCACATAGCACTGAGTCCAAGACACTTCATGGATTGTAGTGGTACAGGTTTTTTTTTGTTTCTTTCTTTATATTTTATTATTTAATTTTATAATTTATCATTAAATTTTATAATTTATTATTCATTTTTATAATTTATAATTTTTGTATAATAATATTAGTCCTTAATAATCCTTTATGTTATTATTATTATTTAAAACTATGTATACTTTGCACGTATTCCTCTTGCCTTTTGACAACATTATCTGTCAGTAAAAAAGTATTTAAAACAAAATTAACAATTTATTTAGTCAAAATCATGAAGTAATTCAGTATAATTTAAGTCAGAACATTTAAAACTTCATAATATATTTATGCATCAATTTAAATCAACTTAAGTTTTCCAGAGGGCAGGCTGCAGTGGGATATTCCTTGGTAACCCAAAGATTACGAGTTCAAATCCCGGTGCCCTGGGGAATTTTAACTGTGACATATTTCCCATGTCGACCCCCCTCTCCTAACAAAAAAAACCGTATATCCCAAAAGATGTGAAAAAAAAGTTTATTGACTGATGGGTAGAAATGAATAATTCAAGCTAAAAACAACAAAAACATCTCCGCTTGACAAACCAAAAATATACGGTATATACAATTGTCATCGTTTATATTATTCTTTGTATCCTTTCATTTATAATTAAAATAGTATTTTTAAAGTTTATAAACTTTAATTGTTGTTTTCTACTAAAAACAGAGAGGTAAGTGAAAGTTGTCTGATGCACCACACCAAATATTTTATAGAAAATATTTATGATTTTATTATTTTGAAATTATAAATTCATGAAATCCTGAAATAATAATTCGCTAACAGCCACATTATCAGATCCAATATGTATATTTTAATTTTTGTATGTAAAACAAAGTATATTAAAAGTATATTATCATGTATATATAAAGTATATTATAACAGTGAACATAAGTACATTTATGAAATTAGTAAAGTGGGTTACCAATCGCTTCTAATAGTCCATATTTTTGGGCTGGCTTCTCTCCAATTATCTTCCTCTTTCTTCCCTCTAGAGCTCCTATTCTTTCCTAACATCAGATAATTTCTTGTTGCTGATAGTTTGGTAAAAAATAGACAGCATTGAAGTGAATAGGTTAACAACTTTATTATTAGTAGGTATTGTCATTCTAAATTCGTACAGTGTTTTATCCTACCCCTCTCCAAATTATTATCAACCTTTTTTTTCAAACACCTAGTAGCTGAATTTTGTATGTAAACTCAAACGTGATCATTTAATAAGTAAGATTCTAAAAAGACTGGGAAAATAGCAATGGACATGTCAAGTATTGGACATGGGTGGGCCTCCTGTTAGCCATACCTATTCAAAAATGATTAGAGTGATTTTAGAGAAAATACAGGAGCACCATTCACTTGCGGATCCAGGGTTTAATTTTGGGGGGAAGGAGGGAGGGGAGAGCTTTAACCAGAAATCTTTATTTTTCATATCTATATAACGATAATTACTTTGGAAAAAAAGAAAGGAACTATCTACCTATATGAAATGGTGTTTAAGTGATTCTTGAAATTCTATTAAATGTATTTTCACAAACAATAATACCTTAAGAGATAATGTTGTAATATGTTTCCATAAAACATGGTTACATTTTACCATTTTTGCGGAGAAGGGGCTTCAGCCCGAAAACTTGTATTTCTAAGTTAGTATATATCATTTGAATTCTTTTTTTGTGTAAAATAAGAAAAACATATTACTAAATGTATTAAACAAATTGCAATTTATAATAAATTACAAAAACCCTTCCGCTATAAAAACGCTTCCAGTAAAGTAAGCCAAGTAAATTTTGGCCAAGAAAAAAATGATTCAGATTTGTTTTTAGTGTCCGCTTAAACTCTTAAATAAGAGTTTATTTTGAAATAAAAATATATAAAGTTTTTGATTCAGTTTTATGGGAGGATTTTTTTAAGCAGTTTAACAAAATATTCATAATTACTGAAGATTTATTCGTTATTTAACCTTACTACAACCGTTAGAAAGTATAAATTATTGCTCACAGGTTTTTATTTTTTATTTCCAAGTGTAACATATTTGTGGATGTCTGGAATGTACCATTATGTGTACATGATAGGATAAGTTGGTTCATGTTTAACGATTTTTTTGATTTTCGAGAAAAAAAACCAATGGCTCCTTTGAGGAAATTTTGAGCTAAACATTTTTATTTTTTGATTGGTTAAGAAATTCATACTAAAGGATTTTTAAGGTGTGAATTGCAAATTTCAAGTTTGTTTCTAATTAAAAAAATTGTGTGAACCCACTTTACTCAGTAGGTCAGTACTAATTGTTTCAATATTGTACTCATGCTATAGCTGTATACTAAGTATATATTTTTTTCTAAACTGGACAGATATCGAAAATACCTTCATAAAATCTAGTATATTGTCGAGATTTGATAAGAAAATAAGAATAAAGCATGTATAGTATATATTATACACAGATTTAGTGAAATCGAAATCTTATGAGATGTGTGGGTGGTCTTAACTAGCTATATTATGTACCAAAAGACTTTACGGTACATAATATACTTTTACCTGGAATGGACTTATTTTCTTTGTAATGGACAGTTGGATTGTGATATTAACATCCTTAGAATGAGTGAGGAGGAATGTATGAAAAATCTTATATTCAAGAATGATCTATAATAAAACACCTATACACTTATAGGGAAACTTTCCTTCCCTATTTACCATACTTACCTATCCTATTTCCATATTTACCTATCACGTGATAGTAAAAAATAAAACATAAAAATTCAAATTTATTTCAAATGATATAAAATCTATGAAAATGTGAAAAGAATTTCCTAAATATTAAAACTACTTATACTATACAAGCCTATTTATACCTTGTTTCAGGTTAACAGGGGCTATCACTCCAGTCTATGTACTCATAAGTGAATTTTGTCCCCAAGATTGTCGGGCTAAAGCGCTCATTATTTGTTCAACTACTGCAACTTTAGCAAATATATATCTTCCAGGTGCTTTAATTAATTTTATTTATATAAATCTCTTGGACCATGGTGATACATAAGTTAGACTATATTTACACAATAAGAAGTTTTATTGAATATAACTAGACAATGTCTCTTGAGTGATTGACAAAATCGAATAAGAATTTAGGGAATTTAGAAAACACTACACAGACACACTATTTCCAAATAAGTAAATTAATTATGTAAACACAGTGGATAATTGAATCCTTTATGTCTAAGTACACAAACTTAAACAAATTATCAATCAGAAAACTAATTTTATTTTCACATTAATCATGTTTGACTTTGCTCAGTAGACAAAAAATAAAACCTTAGTAATAATTTCTACAAACAGATGTTTACATATATTATTATTCTTTCTTAAATATAAACTTTAATAAAATGATTTTTTATGTCAATATGCATATTTTTAGTGCATAATAACAGTATTTTATTTTTTACTGAACCAAGATATTAATGATTCTTGAATTTTAAAAGATGGACATCTTACAAACATTATTAAAATTATTATCGATGAAATTGTAAAAAAATTATTATTTCCTAGGTATGGCTTTATTGATAATGCCATTGAATATTGAAATTCCTATTTTTGGTCTTCTGACCTTTTCTTCATGGCGGCTATTTTTACTCTTGTCAACTATACCTAATATTGTGGCACTAATTCTTTTATGGAAACTACCTGAGACTCCAAAGTTCCTTCTTGTCCAAGGTCATTCAGAAAGAACATTAGAGGTTCTGAAAACCATTTATGCTGTGAATCAGAAAAAAAGAAAAGATGAGTACCCAGTAAGTAATTTCTTGCTAAAACAAGAAATATATATCATGCCAAATGTAAGAGTAAATATTTGAATTATGCCGGGCATCCCTGCACTTTTTTTATTTCAAAATTTCAGTTATATATGTCAATTTAAATAAAAGAATTGGTTCATAACACAAATGTTAGTGTGAAAGGATGTTGTAAAAATTGCCACCGATTATTTCTTTGTGATTTATTAGTATAATTCCATGTTTTATTTCCCTCTGTTATTTTCCTATTTATCAGAATACTTATAGCAGTTGCAGATTACAAAATGTCACCTTTAGCGCAAAGAGAATAAATATGTAAAATTATTACATACGACCTTTCACACTAACGGTAGCGATATGTCATTTATTCAGACAATAATAATTCATAATGTTAGTAAATTGTTTTATTATGAAGTAATGATCAGTGTACTTTCTTCTTTGATCGTCAAATCCAACTATTTTCGTAAATTATTATAGTTAGATATATCTACACCACTACATTCACTTTGTTGTTAATTATTATGGACAGTGAAAATGATTTATTTTCTTAAAACCTAGGTTGCAAATGTAATCTTGGACTCATTGGATAGAAGTTATGAATGTTTAAAAGATGAAGGTAATCCTGTTTGGAGCATGGTAAAACAAATGATATCTCGGACAAAATTGTTATTCAGCAGAACATACATTACTTATACTTTAATGTCATGTATTTTACTTTTCACCCAAATTGGAATGTGAGTATACATAAATTACAATAAAAGAAAAACTTGTAAATAATATATACCCTAAAATTTAGAATTATTTAAAGTCTATTATTTCATTGTAAGACTGAAGATAATTACTAGTTATATTTGAATATATTTATTTTAAGTTTAAGAAATTCAAGTTAAAATATTTAAATTGAGAAATATGGTAGCTCAATGGGTAAGGCATTGGTATTTTAACTCTTAGTTCCAATTTTGGTTACCAACTATTGAGAGTTAAATTTAATTTTCCATTCTATCAACTAAAAATTGACTAAATAGTGAAGGATCCTCCAAGAGAAAATTTAGCCTCTGCAAAATTGAAATTGATTATTGAATGGGCTGAGAAAAAATCTGTCAGAAGAGCATAACCCCATTAACAATAATTGACAATCAACATATAACGTCTTGAATTTAATGATTTTGAACTTAACGAAAGACTGACGAAGATTGAAAAACATTTGTCAAGCTAAAAGTTTGAACAAATAATCTTAGAAAATAATGCACTCAAATCCCAAGTGGGCGAATTAGAGGTTCGCTTGAATAATGCAGAACTGAAACTATTATGTAGATCACTGGAGATCCACGGCATAGCAGAGCGAGTGGGCGAAATGCCCACTATGAAAAGAACTTCTTTTATTTTATCTCTTTTTCGTTCTTCATTTCTTAAAGTATATATTTATGCTATTCTACCATTATATATAGTTTTAAATGTTTTGTTCATAGTTTTAAGTGTTTTGTTCATAGTTTTAAGTGTTTTCTTCATAGTTTTAAGGGTTTTATACATATTTTTATCTGTTTCGTATATAGCTTGCTCACTAAAGGTATTCTTTACTTTTTAGTTTATTTTTTTAATTTTATTTATTGTTTCAAACCTTTTGGCGAGAAGTAGTATTTTTTTCTTGTACAATTTTGTTATTCTAAAGGGACTTTGTCCCAAAATAAAGTTGTTGTTTTTTTTTATCTATCTATAACTATTGGTTGAAAATTAGTGCTCCCAGATCAAGAACTGTACCTATACTCTTTCATAGGTTTTTATTAGGATACACGATTTATTTAATTTTTAATTCAAATATTCAGTTTTATCAAATGTTAACCTGAAAATTAACACTCCATATTTCATAATTTCTGTTTATTTTATATTTAATGTTAATTTAATTTAATGTTTAATTTATATTTTATACAACAAAATGGCAAAATTTCATATTTTTTATCGTGATCTTGTTGAAAAATAAAGTTTTACCCTATCAGATGGTATGTAAACAGTGCCGTAAATATGTAATACAGTTGCTTTATTGATATGCTAAAATTAATTATTTTAATATGTTTTTTATTTTTTTTTATTCTAACAAGTGGTGAACACCCCTGCATATCCCCCATTGATGCACCCCAGTTCAAGGCCGGCACTGAATATAAGAATGCTGTGGTATTTCAAGAAACATATCCCCAAACCAATCAGGAGCCACCTCCATGTTTTACTGTTGGTTGCAAACATTCATCCAAAAATTCCACTCCAGATCTTCTCTAACATACTGCCTTTTTGTGAAACCTAATTCTGAATAATCTCTCCATAAAAATGTATTCCATTCTTTTCAATTTTCATATTCTTTGGCAAATTTAAGTCACTTTTGGTTTATTAAGAGATTAAAAGAATGGTTTTCTTCTGGCAACACAACCTTTAAAGCCGAATGGTAGGAGTTTGCTTGTGATCAACGAAGATGAAACTTGATTCCTTGTAGCATTGGCTATTTCCTGAGCCAGTTCTCTCATAGATTCTTAGCAGTAGTGCAAACACAATAATATTAAATGTTTTTCAGCAGCAGAACTATGGTTTTTAGACTTGCCTGAATGTTTCAATTCTCCAGTTTGCTTGGTTTTTTAAAAATTTGTGATGACGTAATGAATTCCAAAAATAGAACCTTAAATTTCTTTTTGACTTTCTCTGATTTAAGTCCTGATTAATGCAAAACTATGCTTGCTTGGCTAGAACCTGTTCACTAGTGGCGTCCATTAGAAAAACATTGAATCTCGACTGTTTTTGTTTTAATACCCCACAATCCAGTGACAAATATTTTAAAATTTTGATTTGTTCGATGACTTTATCAGACCAGTTTACATTAGTATTTCTTTTATAAATTAGTAAATCTTGAAATTTTTTTTTTTATTCTAGTGTTTTTTTTTATTTAGAAAAAATATATTTTTCTTCAATTAAGGGCATTGAATATTTAGGATGAATGAAATACAAACATACAATATATACAATAAAAGAAAAACAAAATTATAACAAAATAAAATAAAATAAAACTTGGAATAACAGAATAAATCGATCATGATACAACATTAAATAAAAAAAATAAATAAATAAAAACACATTCATACTTATTTACAATATTTACAGTCAGCCGAGGGAGCTCCGAGTTGGGCCTTTTCCCCCATGTGTGAAGGATAAGGCAAGACTCCAAGAGATCTCAGCGCTTCTCTCTCAGCCGCATCACTAGGATGGGAATCCAGTGGAGACTCAGAGAGGGCACTAAAGCCACATACGCTCATGACTTGAGTGGAGAAGCTGGCCATTGCCAGGACTCCAATGACGTCTTTACAAAAGATCTCGAGGATACTGCCGCTTCAACCTTCGAGGAGGATTGTAGGGATGACTGGAACTGGATAAGGATTGTGCTAAGGGATTAGGATGATGGATTAGGTTCTGATGAAAATTTGAAAATCGGGATGGAATAACGTCAAGGACATAAGGGATGTTAAGGTCATAATATAAGGTTTTGTTCGTAACATAATAAGGAGCATTGACTGTTATACTGAGGACTTTAGACTGGAAGGATTGGATGCGTTTGATGTTCGAAAATTTATTTGTCCCACAGTTCAAGTCCGTAGGTCCAGATGGGTTTCAGTATGGTCTTGTATATTAATAGTTTGTTTTCAATCGAGTGGTTAGATTTTCTGTTAAGTGGTCTGTATAACTGACCAAGTCCTTGGTTAAGCTCTTGTCTTTTAAGTCTGGTATGTGGGTTCCATGTTAGTCTTTTGTCTAAAAGGAATCCAAGATACCGAACTGTGTCTGAGATGGGAAGATGTATTGAGTTGAAAAGGATATGTGGACAAGGTCTGTGTCGGAGGGTAAAGGTGACATGCTTGCATTTGGATTCATTGATCTTGATGCGCTAATTGTTGCACCATTGCTCTATTAGGGAGATGTGTCTTTGAAGGTTTAGGGATGCTGTTTCAAGGTCTGGGTGGGAAGATAGGATGGCGGTATCGTCAGCAAATGTTGCTAGAAGGGTATTAGGATGGGATGGAATGTCAGCTGTGAAAAGGATGTAGAGAACTGGGCCCAAGACACTGCCTTGTGGAACACCAGTCTCAACTGGATAATAGTTGGAAAATTCAGTGCCGCAGCGGACTTGAAAGGAACGATTTGAGAGGTAGGATTTGAGGACTAGGTACAAGGATTGGGGTAAGTAAGTTTTGAGCTTGAAAAGCAAGCCATCATGGCACACCCGGTCGAAAGCTTGTGCTACGTCCAGAAAGGCACTAGTGCAATATTGCTTGCTTTCAAGCGCAGAGGACATATGGTCAACAACGCGGAGGCCTTGTTGGACAGTGGAATGTCTTGAGCAGAATCCAAACTAATGGGAGGGGATATTGTGGGTTTGGAGAACGAGTAGGATATGTTTGAGAAGGATTTTTTCAAAGATTTTTGAGAGGATCGGAAGTAAGCTTATTGGTCTATAGGATGAGGTATTATTAACAGGTTTACCTGGTTTAGGGAAGAGGATAATAATGGAGTGTTTCTATATCAGAGGAAAGTGAGTTGTGCGGAGGGAACAGTTATACAGGTATGTGAGGAATATCGTTCTAGTGTCCTAAAACAACAATGAAGATGCCAATCAAACTACAACCTTGAGCTTTGAACACTTTTTTTTGTTCTAAGTAGTAAGCTTATAAATATACTAGTTTGTTTTTTCTAAAAGGTTTAGCTAATTAAATAAAAATATTTTTGAAGTGAAAACATATTATTTCTGTTAGCTTAGTATTCAAATACTTTTTCTTTATAAATCTTCAACCATTGCATACAGGTATAATATATTTATACTATGGTTACCGGAGCAACTAAGCAGAATGAATCAATACATAGAAATGAATGGAGAGTACAAAGTGACCCTCTGTGAAATTATGATGTCAACAAGCAGTCCTGTAGAAAATATAGATGATTGTATTTTAAAATTTGACTTCTTTTCTTATGGTATCATCCTAGGAATCCTACAGCTTTTTATGGGCATTATGGTGAGCTTTTATGCAGAAAGGATCGGAAAAAAGTTAATTTTGAGTAAGTAAAATTCTTTGGTCGTGCAATAATATATTGTAGTTATCCCAAACCATGTAATTTATAAAATATTTATTAAGAAGGATTTTTATTTTAGCTGGTTTCCTTTTCCTATCATCTGGAATGAGCTTTTCTTTGTTATTCTCAAACATGCAATATCTTATTATCGCAGCGCTTATAACTACAACTATCTTCGTTTCTGTGACATTTCCACTTACAGTGACGTTTATGATGGATTTCTATCCAACTTATATAAGGTAATTATAATCTTTTAAAATGTAAATTTTAAATACTAACTAATGAAAACCATGAATGTACAACAGTCATAATCATCAGTTTATCCAGCATAACATCGCTTATAGTTCTTGGTAGTGATTATTTTAATTTTCTTTAAATAATGTAAGGTCTACTGCCAGTGCTGTAGCAATGATATTTGGAAGATTGGGTGCATCTGGTGGAAATCAAATAATGGGATTACTATATGACAACCATTGTGAAAAAGCATTTTATGGAATATCTGCTATTCTTGCAGGTAACTGAAACTTTAAGCAATGAGTATTTTCGGTCCATAAAATTAATAAATATCAATCACATTTTTAAAAGTATTTTTCAATTGATTTTCATTTTTAAATTTTTTTTTTTTTGTATTGTTATCTCTTAGCCACTGCCGCCATGTGTTTATTTGTTCTTCGAAAAAAAAGTTGAGAATGGAGAGTGAATATATATCCAAGAAGATGAACAATCCATTTTGATAAATCACTTTTGTATATATAAACTTTTGTATATATTTTTGCATAACTGTAAATAATATTTTGTTTTTGTAATTAGTCAATATAGAACAAAAGAATTAGTCTGCGTTTTATTATTCTGACAGTCAACATTGTATATTATTGTAAATAAAATATTAAAGAAACGCCGAGTATTTTGTTGTTCTCCTCATTAAGAGAAAATTTTAATTTTAATCAAAATATTGTGCTTTGTTTAAATTTATTAAATAAAATATTGATCAAATTTCAACATTCAATCTCTTTTTTTCTTGCCTTCTTCCTATTGAAAATCAAATACAATATCTATCTACTTTAACACCAGCTATATACTGTTGAATAATACAATACTATTGATATCAAACCTATAAAATTAATGTATAAATGTCCCTCAAAAATTTTGTTCTGATCCATAAATTATGTAGTTTACAACAGACTTGCACCAGTTGAGAAATATATCTACCAGAAAGGTTTAGATCAGGAAAAGGGTTAGCTTGACTTGAGCAGCCATATTATAAAGCAATTGGCTTCGGAAAGCTGTTCTGGCCACATATATAATAGAGTAGAAGGGGTAGATTAGAGGTTCTAGGGTTCTCTACCAATCCATTTGGATCATTCCCTTCTTTAACAACTCATTTCAATTGAATAACATTAAAATTTAAGATTAAATTCTAAACATCCATATAATACAATATTTGGTTGTCATACTAATTTATATAAGCAACCTCTTTGGTTTCTTTCTTTATTGGGTTGGCAGGTAAGTACTTTTTATTACTTTTCTTTAACAATTTTACTACTACTTGACTTACTACTTTATTAAATACTTTCCTGTTTATGTTTATTTCACTACTATACACTTCTTGTCTGACTAATGAATCCCCAAGGCGAGTTGTTTATTGAATTTGTAAAAATAAAAATTCGGTAAGGTCTTCTATGAATATGGATGAAAACATTATTCATTACCAGAATATTTTGCTGTATTATCTTAAAAAAGACAAGTGTGCTTCAGAAGCTCATAAAAAAATTCCCAGTGTTTATGGGAATGATTACTAAACGCTGGTGATAAAATTAATTTGCCAAATTTCATTTAGAAAATTTTGTCATAAATAATGTTCTGCTGGCTAATCGCCCACAAGAGATTGAAATGACCAATATCAAGGCCATTGTTGATCTTAATCCCCCCCAATCATTGCGAGAGATAGCTATGACTCTAAATGTGTTGCATACATGCATAGAAAACCATTTTCAAGCTGCCACTAGAGCTGTTAGAGGTACGCATTAGGAAGAAGCTTCACTTGTCCCTCTCCTGGCCTACCAGTAGCATTGATAGAAGATTAGTCATATAGATATTTTATATGTAATTATAGTATTTATATTCAGTTGGCTAATAATTCAACTGAGCATTAAAAATAATAAATATGATGAAACAGTGCTTTTTGATTTTGAAATTAAAGTTGGTACATATTAAAGAAAATCAATTGTATCGGTTTATTCAATACTACAAGTGGATAGGTGAAACCTTACGAAATTTAAAAATAATATGTATTAACTTAATAATAAAATAATAACAATTAACAAAATTTAATGTAAAAGATTCTAAAAATATTAATACAACAACAATAGAAATACTCAAGAAGAGATTGGCTCAGCTTATCATAGGATTCAATCCTATTAACCCTAGAATATGCTATATCCCCATGAAAGGCTGACTCTTTAATAACACGGTGAGTGCCCTCGAGCAGATGTAAAAGTCATGTTAGGGGCTTCAATGCGCAGGTAGGGAAGGAGCCACCATTCATCTCTCACATTGACAAGCATAGCGTACATGAAATCACTAAAGACAATGGAACCGGAATGGTCAACTTCCCTGCATCTAGAGGCCTAGTCAACATAGCACCTTGTTTCCTATAGAAGAATATACCTTGCCATATAGGCTCATGCAAGCCATATAGCAATATGCAAGCCATATGCAACCAGTAACCAAATATATCATATCCTCATCAGTGCAAGACACTCCTCCAATCTGATGGATGTGGAGGCTCACAGAGGTGCAAATGTTGACTCAAACCAATGTATCATGATTTCTAAAAGTACTGCAAGAATCTCGCTAGTATGAAGTCGGCATGAAGAATGCACCAAGAAATTTGTTGCCAAGAAGCTCAATGATCTATAGACTACTGAGCAGTTTTCCATGAGACTGGACAAATAGCTAAGGGCACTTGACCCTACAAACGACATCAACCTGATATGGGGATCATATAAGGAAGTCATACTGAAAGTTACCAATAAAGTCTTGGGCAAGGTTGAGGCAAAAAGAAGTATACCCTGGTTTGACGCTGAGTGTCAAGCTGCGACAGGATGAAGGATGCATGGAGGACATCGGAGTGATGAAGGATGCCTTCCTACACCTACGAAGAGAAACCACAAGAATGGGACTCACCATTAATGAAACAAGGACACAAACAAATACATGGTTGCGTACCCTGTTGGCAGAGACCAGTGGGATGGTCAAGTGTCGATTGGCCAGTATAGTTTTGAGAGAGTTAAAGCATTCACATATCTTTGAATCCAGGTATACTCCAGATATGATTTAATTCTGAAATCCATCAGCGAATAATGACTGCAAATAGGTGCTATTACGGTCTTTAGACACACCTTATAAACAAAGATGTCTGCAGGACTACCAAGTTGGGTCAGTATAAAACACTTATCATACCCGTGCTGACCTATAGATCTGAATGCTGGACTCACCTAAAAACTCAAGAGCAGATTCTTGCAATATTTGAGCACCGGATTCTGTTCAGAATCCTCGGAGAGGTCTATGGTGATAGTGGCTTGAGGCAACATAGCAGTACACAACTGATGGCACTTTAAAATGACTCTGAAGTCACCACCATCATCAAGATAAGTTGACTACAGTGAGGAGAGGGGTCATGTGGTGAGAGTGGCCGATGATCGATTCCCAAGGAAGATGCTGGGATAAATGGCTGCGTGGAAGAAGAAGGATAGCAGACCAAAGCTGTGTTGGGCTGGTGTGGCAGATGACACTTGGTCCATCCTTGGCATATAGAACTGGAGAAGAGCAGCACAACAGATGACTAGCGGTCATCATGGCAGGATCGCTCACAGAGTAGTACCAATTAAGAAGAAGAGAATGGAAACAGACATCATTTTTAAATAAATGTAATGACAAGAAAAACAGAAGATTTATCAAATCAATATACACCTCTAAAAATACAAAAAATATGAATGCCACAGCTGAACCAAAGAAAAGACACTGATTAGCATTATGCTGTCATAAAAAGTAATATTAACATCTAACAATTAAAACAGAAACAACATTTACTTTTAGGATTAATTAAATCTCTTTGGAATACAATGAGACAGTCCAATTCAAGATAAAAAGGGCAACAGAAATACTATTTTTTGAGAACAATATTTCAAGAAGTTATTTTACAAATTTTTTTCATTTAATGGTCCAATAATTTAAAATATATGAATTTGCATGCAACTCATCTTTAAAAAAAAAAAAAAAAAGCATTTTTCAAGTTAAATAAATTAGTTGTTCAATGAAGGTATTTGAAAAATAATAAGATTAAATAGTTATAACAATTTGTAATAATTTTCATGAAATGTATTTTTCATGTAGATAAATATGTTCCCATGTAATTTTTATTATTTTATCACCATATATTTTAAAAACTATGATTTTTTTAAACATTTCTTTGTCTTGCTCTTCTTCACCTTTCAAATTCACTGTGGGCCTTGAAGATTCATTAATTACCATGAACAAAGTTGTTTAAAATATTTGTTTAAAAAACACACATATATTTTAATATATGTATTAAAACAAAGAATACTTATTACTTGATATAAAAATACAATAAATCAACTTGAAAAACCAAAAACAAAAAAGTTATTAATTTTATATAAGATAAAAATTTATTATAAAACATGATAAAAAAATAAACTTTTCGTGTTCAAAATAAATCAGTTTGTTGGTAAAAAACATCAGTAACAGAAGAGTCAATCCTTTATTTTATTTTACACATTTGTTTCTCATTCAGACATTGATTTTTCATCAAACCAGTCGAAGGGTGGTGATTCAGTACTGATTTCACTTAAGAGCTAATTAGTTTTTTTGTAAAGTCATATTTCATTTTAAAAGAAAAAAAAAACATATGTGAAAAAAGAGTTGGTAAAATAGTAACAGGTAACCAAATGGACTCAGAGTAAAGATGAAAGGTTTACAACTGGGATTACAAATGGAACCATGCATATCTTATCAAACTCAAGTGCCTCTTAACAATTAATAATCCCTCTTCAATAGTAGCTTCTCAGATTTACAAAAATTCAGTTATACAAGTTAAATATTTAAAATGAGTACCAATTTCACTATTTACTATTTTTTTATATTGATTTACAGCTACACATGTTTTGGAGATAAGACAGTTTTCAGTAGTGGGTAACATGATTAAAAAAACTCAAAAATATTCAGCAGCAATAAAACTTGTTATCAAATGTTATAAACTGGACTATGATTGCAGGTAATTGCAGGCAAGCATTGTACAATATTGATGTTCCTAGCATTGATCATTTGAGCGATCTCGTAAACAAGTTCTTTAACAAAACTTTGAAAGTGATTCAAAACACTGATCCATTTTCAACCAACCATATAGATTTAAAATACTCTGGCTATGGAATTGAGTAAGTAAGCAGTATATAGATTTTATTACTTTTTAAAATCAAATTTAATAAATGGTTTTAAAGCTGTTTGATGTAGGTCTTTTCTGTTCTTTTATATATTATGATTATTTGTAGGAGCCTCTCAGTGATTTCATTATGAACCACTTTAGTTAAATGTTGTATTGAGTCAGACAATAATTGTTCCAGTCGATTGAATTCCCAAATTTCTTATTGATGCATCTTAATTTAAATTAAACATTATTTAAGCTAATGATTTATAGTGTTGAACCAATTGATTTTATAGAAAGTTCAATGACTTATTTCTTTGGATTTGAACCTCAAATTTTAATATAACAGAAATTCCAGAACTTTTCTCAAGAAACTTCAAAAAGTTTTCCTAAATTCATTTTTCATTCATTCAACTTGGTGCCACATTCAAGAAATATGGGGTTCTTTGGACCATTTGATAAAATATATCAATATTTTAATTCAGATATAATTCACAGCTTCAAAAATAGTTAGCAGCATTTGGACCTCAGGCACTTTACCAGTTCCCATTACTTTTTGTTATGGAATTGTGGTATATGAAAACTAAAACAGTCAAAATCCAATGTTACCCTAATGCAGGTGTCTCCAATCTTTTTGGCCCGTGGACAACATTGAGACCTCCACTAAGTCCCACGGGCCGCATTGTACCTCCATCTAAGTCCTGTGGGCCATGGCCTGTGATAAAAATTCATGTTGACACTTTCAACAAATGACACTTTCAGTTGTGAAATGAGCTTTCTAAGACCAAAACCCATGCAATAAATGTAGTAACCTCTTGGGCGAGTAATTTGCTTAATTTTACATTTTTTTAGTAGTTTTAAAATTTTAACATGTAATCAAAGAAATTTTTTCGGGTCAGATTGGAGGTATTTGGAGGTAGCAAACTGGCCCAAATCAAGCATGCCCAAACTGCCCAATGGTCTGAATGAGTTTTGGGTTATATTTTTTAAAAATTATTTAAATGAATAAAATAAATACATATCTCATTTATACAATTAATAAATTAAAAATAATAAAGTAATTTTCCACAACCTGGAAAAGTATCCAGGTTACTACAGGAAGTATCCTGTTTGTACTTAACATGTTCCAAATTACTCTATATCATTCAGCATGTTGATTTAAGTTTACAGAAAAAAACTATGCCATTTTCCAAACACATTTTGGAAAAAAAAATTGTATTTTCTTTCCCAGTTCAACTTCTGTGATAAAAAAATAACTGTCAACAGACTATTACATTAATTGAGTGGTTTTGAGAAATCTTTGTACATTAAAAATAATTTAAAGTAAAAAATAGTCGTATAATAATGCTTGTCTAACTTTATGCATGTTACAGAAGTGAAGGATATTTAGATGACTTATTGGTGTCAGGAGCAGCATCAACCAAATTAAGTAATATACATATCGATGACAAAGAGTCACTTCGATTTGGTATAGACATAGCATTGAAAAATATTCAATTTCTCAGTGCATTCAGTCTTAACTTTAATATGCTTACAATGTTACCTATTATTGGAGATGGTGATATTGGGTATGTATTTCATAATATTTATAAAATATTATATCAGGTCCTTTTGTAATAGTGAATCTTAATGAAAAAAAAAATTATTAAGAATGACACTTTCAGAATCTACTATGTTTATTTAATTATTCACCAAATTGACTAGTCTTAACAAGACAACCAATGATGACTTACTCATTCAAATATTGATGAATTCATCAATAATTATTAATACAAACCTTATGTTTATGTATTAAAATCTTTTGAAACATACAATAAAAACCTCCAAACATGTAAAAATCCCATCCAAAAAAAGCCCACGTGTTTAAAAAGATATGACAAAAAAAAAAACTTTATCAACTTAATACTTTAAATCAACATGATTTATGAAAATATAGAAAAAATATTTTTATTTTACATAAACTAAATAAATTTTAAAAAATGAAAAATAGAATTTATTAACACACTCAAAAACAATGAAATTATCAAAAGTATTCATTATAGTTGAGCATGATATACATTTCTAGTTGTCTTTATGTCATGTTATACTTCCTATCATCAAATACTTTAAAAAATTAAACATCTAAATTTGCAATTGGGTATTATTTATTTAAGCTTAAAATACTTGGCCCATTAGAATTTTTTTTTCTATTTAAAACACCAACTTTTTATTAACATTATGAATGAAAAGATAAAATAATAATTTTTAATTTATAAAAAATACATAAAATAAAATTTAAAATTAAAAACTGTATTAAGTCTCTTAAAACAATCAACTTTTTTTTTCATTGAAGCTAGTATCATGTACATTTCTAAATGTGTATTTCTAGAAAGTTATATCTCCTGTTTCCAATTATGAGCTAAAATATAACTTAATAAATACCAATATTATTTGAAATATTGGAAATTATATAAAATATTAAAAATTATATGAAATATTGAGTTTATCATGCTGCTGTAATACACTATAAAGGCCTTTCTAGTTTTCATCAGTAGAATACTTTATATTGATATGAGTTTAGCCAAAAAAAATTATGGCATTACAAGACTAAAATAGTATTAGAAGCTGAAATAGAATTAAATGGTCAGTTTCATGTCATTATTATTTATTATTTAGTATTTGTTCTTGAATCATAATTAAGTTTGTAAATCAAACTATGATAGATATTTTATGCTTACAAATAAACAAACATATAATTTTGTGCTGAAAATCCTCAAAATAAACAAATTTATTCAGTAACCCTAAAATCTGCAATGTAAAACTAGACAAATAGAACAACCTCTTCATAATTTCAATTTAAGTCCTGGTTTAGTTGAATTTTTCCTTGAAAAAAATATGCAATTACACAAAAATCTGGTCTTTAATCATGACTATTGTTTGTTATGCTTAGAGTTCAATGCGCTCAATTATTGAATCCAACTAGAGCAGAAAGATAATCAAACATTCAAGATTCAATGAAATCATGATTCAAAAGCTATCAAAATGAATACAAATTTAATATTTTTTTCTATTTTTAAAGCACAGCCATGTCAGGACTTCAATTTTCAATAAAAACAACCTTTAAAGAATTGATGGATAAAAGAATTCAAATATCTGATCTTCAATTTGATTGCAGTGTTGGTGATGTGAAGGTAAACTATAACTTGTTTTCAGAAATCCAATGCAATCTAATAATTATTTATTGGTGATAAATATTCAGGACATAGTCATTATAAAGATTTTATTGGTGCCGACGTTTCAACCGAAAAATGTGGGTCATCTTCAGGACAGATATTCAAATACTCAATACCTTCAATGCTCAAAACACGTCCTGATGATGAACCACATGTTTGAGTTGAAACGTTGGCACCAATAAAAACTTTTTAATGACTGCGTCCTGAATATTTATCATCCATGATATATAGAACAGTCGACTAAATTCCTTCAATAATAACTATTTATATTATGGTTTTAAGGTGGATATAAGCAGAGTCTTCAACAACACATATTTGGCAACATATACGGGCCAGGTGCTGTCAGAATTATTACCACTTCTTCTTAATGATTTTCCTCCGCTCAAAACATATGGAGGTATTGGTTTAATGGCAGGTTTAAACGTTTTACTATGTGACCAAGCTGTCACACTTCAGACAGTTGTTACATTCATGGAGAAATTTATACAATAAATAAATGATTTCGAAACAATTGCCTTATTTTCTTTTCATTTCTTTTTTTTTTTTTAATATTACACAAGAGAATAAAAAAATCTTTGTATCTCCATTTACTAATTCTTAGAGATTTTATTGCACTAAAATTAAAACAGACTTAAAATATACAAATATCTGAATATTTGGATGTTACATGTCGTTCATGTTATGAAACTTTTTTTTAACACTATAACAGTAAAAGTAAAAATTATTAACACATTTTAAATCAATAATTTTCTATAGTTTCATGTACAACACTACAAACTGGCTGAACTGGACATACTTTCCTTTAATCTAACCCGCTCTTTTGACATCAATAATTATAATTCATAACTATGTATTTGCATTTATAAAAAATACTGATGCTGTTTTTTTATTTTTGAACCTATATAATGTTAAGGTATTTCTAATATCATAGGTTGTCATCAGCATCAAAATTTTAAGTTCTAGATATTAAGCATTTTAATAGATGATTCTTTGAAAAAATTAATTCTAAATTTTTTAACTAAAATTGACAATTGAACTTTATAATACAACCAGTAAACAAGCTATACAGATTATATTATAGCAATGGGTTCAGGAAAAAATAACCAATGATAGCACTTCAATGATTCAATATTCATTATCATGTCAAAAGCCCTAGGCCATCTGCTTTTCACATGCCTCAGAAAATTATTGAAAAGAAACCAAGTAGGTTTGGATTTTAAATAGTAGATTTGCGTGGGTGCTTAGTTTGAAAATAAAATAAGTAGGTATGTTTATTTCAAGCCAAATCCAGATCATTTAGGATATAAAACGTTTAGCGATAATTTTGTTTGTGGCATAATAAGGAGCACTGAGTATTTTCTAGAGATATAAATTGAAAGAATTGAGTTGAGAAAGAATTTTCAAACTTTGTGAAGCCCCCAACTGATCTGAAAACTGATCTCTGCAAAAATTCTAAATCCACAAAAAAAAAAAAAAATCAGTTTACAATTCCATATACATACAATTTTTTAATTTGTATAAAAAATTAGGACTGTAGTGCCAGCCGAAAAAAAAAATTCATATAACTTTTTAATAAATTTACTTTTTTCATGATCAAAAAATCTTCAGAGACTAGAATAACAATAATATGTAAGGATGGCAAGCTCCATAAAAGCTGTCATATCAAAAAATAAATAATGTAGTTATTTGAAAAGGAACACACAATAAAAAGACATTTTTATACAAAGATAATATATTTAAATTATTTTGTAAGAAGTACTTGTAATATTTTGTACAAAGTAAAATTTATAATTAAGATATTCACATATTTACAATTTACATTATATTTACATGTATATTTACATTGTTTAGCAATGAAGAATTCACACTTTATTCAAGCTTTATATTTTTATTAATGAACCATTACCTGTTACTATGTTTAATGACATCTAATTCCAACCAATACCGTGAATTAATATAATCGTTCAATATGTCTTCCCGAAAAACAACCTTAAAGGTAAGCAAAGTAGAACCTAAAACTTTCTCAATCAGTAACTCTGTTATCCTAAGCCAGTCAACAGTGTCTAAATGGTCAGAAAGACTGATCTCGCTATCCACTTTTGGTGGTTTGATTAGTCTCAGCAATGTTGAAACAACCTCAGGGCATCCTAAATCATCACAATACTTTCTGAAAAATGAGAGGAGATCTTTGGCAGTTAAACAGGACTGTAATAAGAAAGGTTTTAATCTGCATTTCATACTTCGGTGAATAAAAAAGTTAAGAAAATTAGGATCGTCATAGCCATCTGGCCAAAAGTTAGAATTTCTTAATTCTTTCACATGAAACTTAAATTCACAAGCAGTGCCATAATAATTATGTTTGAAACAATTAGTTATTTCGTTCACAGTGAAATCAACTAACTGATTATAGAAAAAAATTATGTTATTAGGTGAGAGTAAAGCAACATCTAATTCATCATGAAAATATCTATCTTGACGAAACATATCAAATAATTTGTAAACAAATATTTCCATAACATTACAGAAAGGCTTAACTTTTAAATTACATAAGTATAAGTTTCTAGCCATATCACATAAAGTACCAACCAATGAATTGGTATCTTTCCATAACAACTGTTTAAAAAATGTAACTTTACTGGCATGAGGTGATTCCACTTCATTAACATGACTCCCAATATTTAAAATTGCAACTGGAATTGGATGATTAATTAAGTCCAACAATTTTTCCATACGTGTCTTCAGTTCTATAGAAGTTTCCCAGCCATTGGCTGTGATAAGCATAAGTGAAGTTAAATTTTTACATGACTCAATATTAACAATGTCTTCAGTTATTACAATCTTTGAAAAAACAGTAACACCATTAGATGCCAATGTTACATCAACATTTTCATCATTGGAACCTTTCCTATTTGAAAAAGCTTCTTTGCACCAAATTCTAAATTTCATTTGAAAAGTAGATCCTTCTTCAATAGGAGGTGGAATAGCAAACACTAGTTTCCAGAAGATAGGTACAGGCTGTGCCACATTACCCCATTTGTTAGCATACCATACAGAGGTTTCACCCAACATGTTAATCAACTTCCTTCTAATATTTGTAACATTCTTATCAAGCTTGTCAACAATGTCTGTATGTAGAATCAACTGAACCATTAAAGCGGCCTTCTTTCTTTCCATAAGCCTCTCTGATGTCTTAATAAACTGCTTTTTTACAGGGCAACCCCATATTTTAAGATGGTTCTCAGCAGTAACATTGCAGATCACTAGAGCTTCTGCAGCTTTCATTGCTTTTATTTTTGTGACTTTTTTCTGCCATAACCTTAAATACTTTCGGGCAGATATTTTCTTTAAGTTTTCAGCTAGCTTCTTACGCAATTTAGGTATTGTTCCATCTTCATCGACTTTAGGAGTTTTAATATCTGGCTCAAATTTTGGTTTATTACAGGAACTCTCTTTGGAGAAAGAAAATTTATTTTGCTGAAAAGGAATAATTGGAGACTTTGGAATCGTTGAAATGGAAGTAGTTCCAACACCTTTAGCAGAATTTAAAAATGATCCTTGATTGGGAGCATGAAATTGAGTGACAAAAGGATTAAACTTGGGCAGAGGCTTCAAATCCAATGCTTGAGGCGATGGAATTTTTATTTCACCTGTATTAGTATTAGCAGATGATTTGGAAGATAAACTAGAAGATGTACTGTTGAATGACATTGCAGATTCATTACTAGATTCATCTAAATTGTTGACTTTTGGTTCAGTGTCACTAATAGCATCAATTGCTACATTGGTAGTATCAGCAGCATCCTCATATTCATCATCAATTTCTGTATTATCTTCTACAGTCTCAGTAAAATGAAATTTAATTTCTTGTTGAGGACTAATGCTAATTCGAGGGGAAATATCAACCTTTTCTTTGTCTGAAACTACAACTTCAGAAACACTAGTATCTAATGCACCTTTCAATCTTGTGGTTTGCACATTCCTCGCAACAATATCAAACAACATTTTTTCTTCTTGATCTGATGCATCAATTGCATCCGGATTTAGAAGCCCTTCTTCACTAAAACTGTTATGAACACTATGTTCAAGGAAAAGTGGAAGCTGTTTATCAGCACCAACCACAGCTTGAGCTACTGGTATTCTTTTTTTAACAACTAAAGACGATGGTGCTTTAATAGCATAAACATTTTCAGGGATAAAAAAATCATTCCTTGATATCCTAAAATGTTTTTCATCTTTGCTGAGAGTGAGACCTAAAGAATCACAAAAGGAAGCACATTCACTGGTTGAATCTAATTTTAACATACCCATTATAAAAGAGACAGAAATATTTGACACTTTATTAGGAACAGCATAAGCCTTAACAATTGTGTTTAATGCTTGAACTCTTAAGTGGTGAAAAAAACGTTGCATTAAACAAGCATTTAAGTATGTTGTATGTTTGATAAGTCTGAAATAAGTTGAAAACATGTTGTTACTATATGCCAAATGGATTTTCACAGCTTCTTTAACTTCATGTGATTGTTTTAAGCTGTGTGTATATCTCCTGTAATCAGACATTAATAAACCACTATTAAGCTTTAAGAGTATCATATACGCATTGAATTCTGCTTCATTTGGGCATGTTACACCTTCTCTGTGAAGGTCTTCATACATATGAATAAGTGACTGAAGGCAATTAACAAGGGTCTCAGTGTTTATTTTATCATCGAAATGACTTTTACTAGTTCCCCAGAGTCTGTCATAACACGCAATATGAAACCTAGCACACTGCTCTAAAATAGTTACAATATTGATGGTGCATAGTTGTTGCTGTATTATATCCTTCCTAATGGCTCTAAGACGACCCCAACAAAAGTCATACCAGTTTGCATGATTTTCATCATTCAACTCATCCATTCTGGACATTATATAATTTATGATATATGACATTGTCATGGTCAATACTGGTTCAGGCCTCAGCTCATGAGGAAGAGGCTCATCTTGATCAGCTGAACTTCTAGTATATTCTTTTACAGCTTTTGAATGGTCCATTCTACCATTACTAAGGGATTCATAAGGAGATACAATTGCATTTACATCTCTCATTAACCTTTCTTTTTCTGGACACATATCAGGACAAATTCCTTTTACAACATCAGATGCATCTATTTTTCCAATTTTTTCCATTTTCATCCTGAGATATCGATCTCTTTCTTCTAAAATATCTAATTTATCTTTTAACGTTTTCGCAACACGTGACTGGAAAGGAATCTCTTTAATTAAAGTTATTGCTTTATTATCATCAGTCTTAGGATCTTCATTGTCCTCGTCTAATCTACTGGTTTTTTTAGGAGGAGCATCTACACTCTTAAAATTAGCTTTGGTTTTAGTTGATTTTCTAGGTTTTTCTGTATGTTCATCTTCAGCATACCAGTTAAGTTCTTCATTAATATCAGCTTCTTCTGCTCCATAAGAATCATGATGATCAGTAAACTCAATTTTCAACAGTGAATCTTTCCAAGATGT